AGAAATTACTAATTACATAAGAGATGTTTTAATAGTTCTACTTTTACATATTTAATGGAATATCATCTATACAACTTGGATAATGAAGTGCAATTCAAATTAATTGTCACTAATTTTTCAATAAATATTTTTTTAAAAAAAGAGAAGGGCATCTAAATCACCTAAACATCATCCAATTGGACCAATATATAGCAAGGATAACTTTATCCAAACACATTTAAGCACTATACAACTGTAAGTATAATATATAGAACACAAATAACTAGAAATCTTTCATCTGAAAATGAATCCAGTGATAATTTCAAACACCCAGCATACATTTCAGTTCATCTTAACAACATGCTATAGTTTAGAAATCAAAATGACTATGCAAGTGATGTACTACTTGATATACAACAATTACATAGTCCTATTTAGTTCCTGTTTTTCCATTAGCTACCGTAAGTGTGAATTGACAAATCACAATTGGAAAATTCATCACATTGTTTTTAGAGCAAGCCAATATCAGAAAATTCCAGTTACTGAAAACTGGGAAATGGAGAAATGAATTTATGCGTTAAAGGGAAGAAAGAAGGGCAATGAAGAGCATTTCTATAAACAAGCCATGTTTTAATAGTATTCCAAAACTGAATTACACCCAATTTTATCAAGATCTGGTTGTTCTTAAAGATAATATTTATGTTTAATTGATCGTATTTAATTAAGCCTGAAAATATATTAGGTGATATCAACAAGTTTTCCAAAGAACTGCTCCACATATTATAGTTTAAGAAAATGATTAAATCTCCTAAGGCTTTTGAAATAGAAAGGCAAACTATTAGTATCTTCTAATAAATTACAGAAAAGGAAGCTATGACCACATACTGTATGATATATTCTGCAACAAACCAGTACTTCAGAAAGAGGACAAACCATTTCATCATTGCTTTCTGCAATAATATTTTGTCATCATGTTTGACAAAAGAAACCACTAGTAATTTACCAATTATTAAACCATAATTTTGACATTCTTTAATTGCTAATTAGCTGAGAAAACATGATATCTGAATTAGTTCTTTTCCCATTTAAGATATTGTATCATTAACTTTGTATTTTTAAATTCAGACAAACATTGGAGGAACTCATAATGAATAAGTAGGATTTCAAAGAAAAAGATTTTTTAGGTTTGCCCACCATGTATATTCTTCAAGTCTGTATTCCCAGTTATAAAAAAAGTTTTATAATAAATACATTATATGCCTGCACTTTAATAGGCTAAATATATATTTGCAGGTAGAGAGGGAAACAGAGTAATCCTCCATAGCAGAATAAATTCATTCTTAACCCCCCCAAAAAAATCTGAATTAGTCATGCCCCACTGAATAATAAATGGAACAGCACTGCTAACTCACTTCTGCTAGATCTTCAAAACAACTGCCAACCAGGGGATGAGGACTACTTTCATCAGTCATTTCAACTGTGTCCTCAATTAATCCCAAGAGCTTCATTGTCAATTCATGGATATCTGTGATGTTGCTGAATATCATGTCAATATCCTGAGGAAAAGAAAATCCACTCTGAATTTGTATGTTTTTAACATTTGTTTTAAATATTCAGCCATTTGATTAAAATTTATACAATAGTTTAAATTAGACCAAAAGATTAAGGAAGATTTTGTATCGTTTTAGACCAGTGTTTCTCAATTTTAGCAACATTAAGATGTCTGAACTTCAACTCCCAGAATTGGCTGGAGAATTCTGGGAGTTGAAGAGCCAAGGTGGCGCAGTGGTTAAATGCAGCACTGCAGGCTACTGCTAGATCAGCAGTTCAGCGGTTCAATTCTCACCGGCTCAGGGTTGACTCAGCCTTCCATCCTTCCGAGGTGGGTAAAATGAGGACCCAGATTGTTGGGGGCAATATGCTGNCCATGGGCTCAAGGTTGACTCAGCCTTCCATCCTTCCGATAAAATGACGACCCAGGTTGTTGGGGGCAATATGCTGACTCAGTAAACCACTTAGAGAGGGCTGTAAAAGCACTGTGAAGCGGTATATAAGTCTAAGTGCTATTGCTCTAGGCAATCTTCAACTGAAGGAAGGAAAAAATATCTTTATTAGATTATTAATTGCCAGCTTTCAAAAATTCTTATAAGTTTTCATTAGACAAAAGAGCTGAAATCCAGAAAACAAGAGGTGGGAAGTTATATGGCTAATTTTTTTTATTATGGTTGTGTAAATGATGGTGCTTAAAAGTTTGTTAATCCTTTTGAATGTTCAATATTTCTGCATAAATATTCCTTAAAACATATATTCTCCATGCTAGCTTTCTCCTAGAACAAAGATTCTAAGACTCATTAAATTAATGAGTCAAAAATATTATACCTGTTTATTATTTATTGAGGAAAATGATCCAAAGTTACATATATGCATGTGCAGGGTATATGAACCTCTAGGATTATGAGTTCATTTGAAGGGGAAATTAGAATCAGATGTTTCAATCAATAGAATAATCATCAGATGTAAGTGTGGGCGGTCCTGCCTTGAAGAATAGAATTCTGGGAATTCACTATCAAATCAGATCTTTACAAAGCAGGTATGTGAAAGCGTGTCAAGGCTTGAACAAAGGAGGTTTCTGAGTACATCTGAAAAACAGTTGTTCGCAAGGCAGGAAAAGATTATAAAATTATTTACTAAGTCTATTTACAAAGTCTGCTGTCAGGCAGACTGTATACGTATGGGGGCAATTTAATGCAATTTTTACCCTTCCTAAGAGTGATTGAACAAGATCACACTGAACAAAGTATTTAATACTACATAACGTCTCAAAGAACCCAGGTATTATCTAAGGAACTAAAGACTTCTCTTCTAATAGCAAATGCCAGTGTTCATCAGGACAACTCTGAACAAGAATGGTATGCATAGCACTGTTATAAGGAGAAAGCCATACTCTCAAAAAAGAATGCTTCTGTCCATCTACAGTTTTGACCTCCCAATGTTGCAAATTCACAATCCTAGCAATACAAGTAGGAAATGATAAGGGTTGGAATTTAACAATATCCAGATTCTATAATTTAAATTATTTTATCAAGATTGCTAACATATGAGATAGAGATTTTTTCTGTTTTATTTTTATGTTAGAACTTTCACATTTGTTCTGTATATATACCTGGAAGTGTAAGGCCACAGCAGGTTTAGCCATTACATTATTAAAATGTTCTTGATATTGTGGTGAAAGGATTTCCTGTGATAAGGTTTCATATGGGTCAAAGGCTTGTTCCTAGAAAAAAAGAATATAAGCATTGTAAAATATGTGATTTAGAGAAATTACTAATTACATAAGAGATGTTTTAATAGTTCTACTTTTACATATTTAATGGAATATCATCTATNTTAAAAACAATTATAATCAAATGAAGGTTGTGGTATGATGATAGTAATATATATAAATATATTTGATTTAAAATATATAACTGGATATGAATTGTAGGTGATGACTGTGGAAGGGATGCACGAAAGCTCTTTGTAACCAATTGACACACTTTCTACAATTTGTAATGGAAGATAAGTTTTGTGATGTTTTTTTCTGTTTTGTTTGTCTGTGTTTATTCAAAAATAAAAAATTCTTATATATAAAAAAGATCTTAGTCATCAGGCTTAAAAATTCAGAATGCGCTAGAAAAGTTTGATCTTAATTCTTTTTAAATATTGCATTTTTATATTGTTGAGGATCTATGTATTCATTAATCCAATTCATTTTAATATTTCTGTACCAGTATCAAGTATCAAATAAAGTATTTCTATCTCTTTTAAATAATTCAAATTATCTTTAGTAATTTTGATTTGGGTCCCACTTTGTAATCAGCAATATGATTCAGCTGTAAGACTCATAGTGGACATGCCATTTGGTCACTACTGATTTTTCTATTGTAATGGAAGCCTAATCATCCATGTAATATACAAATAGAATGTAGCTGCCAATTACAGAAGAGTAATTTCTTTGCCATTGGACTGAACTTGAATGTTGGCAATTCAATCATTTCTCTCATAGTTTTTTCATAAAACATAACAATTACTAAAATCCAGATTATTTCAGTTTCTTTTGACCTGTTTTTCTAGTCTTTTCCTCATAGTCAGGAAACCAAACAAATGATCTAAAGGATTCTGAGAAAGTCAAAATTTAGAGTACAGGTCAATATTTGTACCTTTATCTTTCCCATGGATTGTAATACAATACTGTAATTCTGAATTTGTAAGGTTTCTGAAAATCCATTTTCATCCTTTCATCCTAGTATCAAATTCCAAACTTGTTTTCTGCTTGGGCAAAACACTATGAAAACTGTTGTCACATTTTTACAACTTATACTATGTGTTGCGTGTAATATTTGCTCCAGTTGTTCCACCAGGACATAAATAATTAGTAGTAATATACCACCAATTATCCAAGCATTAATGCAATGCTTTATTATTTCTTTTACAAGGAAAGAAATCTTTGTCCAGCAAACTTTCTCATGATCTCTTTTTAACTGAATCCAAACTGTTTTAGTTTTATATTGCCAAACCACATAAACCTTTCTAAAAGCTTTATATAATTAAGTATGTATTCTGAAAAGAGGAGATAGGAAATGCCATTAAAATAGATTGCTCAAAAATAAATGTGCTAACATTTAAATTATTAAAATAGCTTACCAATATGGTGATTTTATTACTGTTACTATGAGATAAAAATTCATTACAAAGGAATTGGGAAGATTTTTATTTACCTTTCTATCAACAAACTTAGCAGCTCTTGCGGCTTACAAAAGGAGCGATATGTGGTAAGGAAAGTACGTACAAAATTAGGATCTAGAAAGGCAAGCACAATTCCAAATTAAGTAATTCATAAGTCATAATTCCCATAAGTCAATAATGTGAAAACATTATATTGGAAATCCAGATACCTGCATACATGTGATAAGTTAGTCTTTCAATGAGTTTCACCACAGTTCCACCTTTGATGATCGGAATCCCATTCCTGCTCTGAAGATTGTCCTCAAAAACTATGTTCTCCTCAGAGTCTTCCACTGCAAAACGATAGATACTTGGACTGGGGAGTCGCAGGGGCTGCTCATTCTCTTCTTGCAATAGTACGGCATCCAACATTCGGTCAAGGGTGCTACGATACTGGAGGGAAATCAGGGCTGCCATCCAGTTGTTCTTCTCTTCAGCAGACTTGGCAGCAAAGATAAAGCTGTTCTCATCCTTAGACACCAGTTCAAAAGCATTTTTGTATTCACAAGTGTCATCTTTATCAACTATATGGACTTTCCTCATAATAATCTTTTCTTTGAGTCGGTATTCTGCGTTGCTATAACCTGGAAGTCGGGACTGTCCGTGGTTGGCTTTGCAGCTGATCATTAAACCATCAAAGAGAAATACATGTCGTTCATGCTTGGCTCCTACTCTTGCCAGAGTGCCTTCCATTATAAATTCATTACAGCACTGACCAATATCTTTGCCTTCCCAACCATCAATGTTTTTCTGGATCTCATTCATTTTTTTAATGGCCAGATGCTTGCTTCTTATTTGGCGGTTGTAGAACCAAGACACAGGCTCCCTAAAAGCATAGTTTATCAGATTAAACTTGGCAGTTACCAGCTGTAGTCTGTGCAAAGCAGATATGCTTACTTTTAAAACAAAATATGTAAAAAGGCCTTAACAGAAGGAAAAGAAAGTGTCAGGGTGCTGACTCACAGCATTAATTCCTGTGACATTATCTGCCTTTCTCTTCAAAGGTCAATATATTTGCTAATGTTCCCAAAGACTAGAATAATGCCATGACTAATTTTCTTACCCAGGTCGACGTCTAGGTGAATGTTTGTTATAAATGCGTTCCATACTACATTGGAGATTCAGGAGAGCTGTGATGGCTTGTTTTAAACATTCACAGTCTTCTTCATCTTCACTGCATTCTTGAAGTTGCTGAAAAGAACAAATATTTCAATTTTATGGGGAGTTAATTTAGGAGAGAAGAATTTATAGAAATATCTGAGTAACCAAAATACAAATTGTATACAACCTAAGAATACATTTCCGTGCACACTGATCAAAACAATTATTTTAGCAATTCAAGTGAACAAAAATGATTAGTCCAAACTTAAAAGTCTTATGTGTATTTCAGGCAGTTGCACATACAAATAATTCATCCTGTTGATACTTAACAACTTCTTACAAAAAATTCTAAAAGCATAATTGAAATTAGCAGTCAGAATATATTACCAAATAGAGTTGCAAGTCATTTTTGGTTATGTTTTCATGATAAGCATAAATTTAAAAGCACCATGATTGGATATTAGAGCAGGACATCTGACAAAAGATATTTAATGTGTTTTTCTAATTCTATATTTAAATTTTGAGTAGCAGAGATAAAGAGCATTCTTTGAATGTCAAATGTTGGATACTTTCTTCTGCACACATTACAAGTTCATTTTCAATTATAATACTGAAAGGGAAATAAGATTTTAAGGTAGCTACAATAATGAAAAGTTAAGGATGTAAAAAAGCTGATATAAACATTTTAGAAAGATTTTAACCTTGAAACTATTTCAGAAATCTTGAAATATGGAAATGTCATGAAGTTTCATGCTCCAAGCATTTCAGAACAAAACATTTTGCACACTTTTAATGAAAACAAATAGTTCTGAGTAATGCTAAATTTAACACTCTAATTATCAAGGCCTTGTTCATAGTTCTCTTAGATCTGACTTGAATCTGGTGCTTACAAGAGGTATCAGTCTTTAACTAACAGAATCTACAGAACAATAGATTTGGAAAGCACTAAGCTGGGAAAGGCTCATCTATCAGCTGGGTATATTATTAACTCATGCTAATAAAACATAATTGTCTTTTTAATGTATCTATAACTTGCTGTCAGATACAGTAAATCCACATTTTGTTTTTTAAACTCCAGTACAAACACTAGTCAAGCTAAAATGAAAAATTATTAAAAACAACAAAAGTAGTTTACATGTTTAAATGACCAAATTTGGTGTATGAAACAGATGCAACATTTTTATTTAATCCAGATTTAGTATATGTGCACATTCAATTTGTATATAGAATTTACTTGTAATTTATTTTAAACAGTGTATCTCACCTGTAGCAATTCAAAATAGTGCAGACAGTGATAAACAGGCACTAACATGAGACGTGGTAGCACATATTGTACTGCTTCTTTAAAGCCATCAGCAATTGACTGAAGGAAAAAAAGAAAGTCTGGTTTCAATGATTGTCATAGGAAGAAGAGACAGAAGACATTCAAAATTATAATGTGAGCTGTCTAGAAGCTATGAGGATGACATACATGTTTTGTGAAAGATGGATGGATGAACAGACAGACAGACAGAAAGATAAACATCCTCTCTATAGACTATTCTAACATTAAAAGCCTTTACAATTTATTGCATCTAGTAGGGTGGGAGGAAGGTTTTATGAACATTTCAACAAAGTAAACCTTTCAAACCACAATTACCCACATTTTGTCATCTCTACAGTCTTTCTAGAGCAGGGGTCACCAACCCCCAGGCCATGGCCCATTACCGGACCAGGGCCTATTTGAAATGGGTCTTGCAAGAGGCAAGCTGGTGTTCATGAGCAGCTCCACTTGTGCATGGTGCCCAAAAGTGGAGCTACATATGTGTGTGTGTGCACCAGCCTGTTGCCTCGTTCCCCTCTCTCACCCCAGTTGGACTGCCAAGCTGCCTACTCCCAATGCTCCAAAAGGAGAGTGGTGAGAGCAGAGGCTGAGTGGGATGAACATGTCCTGCTCAGCTTTGCTGACTCGCCAAGGCTTCCTGCAAAGGACACCAAATACACATTTTAAGTGTGGGGCAGGCTCAATGAGTCTAAAGGAGCATGAGACCATGCCCCCCCCCAAGGCTTTTCTCTTCTCTTCTTTTGCTAATGGATGAAAGGCTTTGGGAGGAGCAATCTCACACTGCTTCAGACCTTCCATCGGGCCACACAAGAGGTGGGCCAGTGCTTACACGCAGCTCCACTTGTACAAGGGGCATCCCAAAGGGCTTCCATTCTCTCTTGTGTGAGTGCCACAAAGCTTGGGGACTGCTGGGGAAGAAGGCGGGGCTTAGCAGTGAGAAGACGGACTTTCAGGCTCTCCCTGAATCTCCTTCTATTCTGAAGCATNGTTAGTGTCCCAGGGTCATATGATCACCTTTTATCACCTTCTGACAAGCAAAGTCCATGGGAAAGCCAGATTCACCCAACTACTGTATTACTAAAATGACTACCTCAGCGATTTACTTAACAGCTATGGCAAGAAAAGTCATAAAATGAGGCAAAATTCACTTAGCAACTGTCATCAATTGTGGTCATAAGTCAAGGACTTCCTTTAAAGGTCTACTGTCAGCAAACTAACTCTCTAAACTATCTCTCTAAAAATAACATTTTGTTGGTTTTATATTATGTACAACAGCTTATACCAGATAATATTGATCAGTATATCCCGATACCAATTTTAAAATTCTCCATATTTCATGATCTATGTTATTATTTTAGAGAAGTAAAACTCTCTCCATTGCATGATTTAATTTGTTGAATTTTTCAGTTCCTCTTTTCATACTAGCATTGTTTTGTGAGGAAACACCTGCTTTCCCCCTCATCACATGTACTGCATTCATACCTCCACATCTTGAAATGTCCGTGGCTGTGCAATGCATAACTTATTTAACAGTTGAAGAATTAGTTCCTCGATGTAAAAGAGGGAATCTTCCTTGGCTGAAAGGTTGGGATGGACTTGCTGCTGAACCTGCAGAAAGATATATTTGTTATGCTCAATCAGAAGACAAATTAATGAGTACTTATAACCATACTGTATCTCTTATAATTTTAAAAGACTAATTTTTCTTAGTGCTCCACAATAAAATGTCCAATAATGAATATTTATGTAGAAGGATACAGGTAAGCTTTTATTTCATTAACTAATAACTTAGTGTTACCATCTTCTGTAATTGTTCAAAGCCTTGGTATGTGAAAGGGAATGGAAAAAATGCTGCTAAATTTAGAACTGTGAATCATGCAGAAATATTTTTACCCAGTACTTTCTTGCAATTCCCTCATTCTGGAAAACACCCTTTTAGATGACTAAATTTCAGAAGATATAGGGCTTTCAGAAGTCTATCAACCAAACAAATGTGTGCATGCATACATGTTTACCCCAGCTGAAATAAGTTACCAGTATTTTGAAACTTGTATTAAAATTAATTTAGCAGTTATTTATAACATTCCTCATAAACTCTGACAAGTTGCAGTTATTTATAACTTTCCTCCCAAACTTTGAAAAGCTGATTAAGGCTCATAATCAGAAAGTAGAAATACAAAGTAGCCCTCCCTAGGGATAGCATGTCATACTTGAGTACTAAAAAAAAGCCATTCCTGAATCACTCATTATATTAGCCATATCAGCATATGAGAGTACTTAAGAATAGGTCTTTGATGAAAAGGTTCCAATGCGAATATGAAAGCAAAAGACACTCCTATGACTCAAAGCCATGGAGGACTTAATAGGTTAGAATCCTGACATAATATGATCATCTCCCATAACTAGTCATGATCTTTGGCACTATGTTCTTTACTAAAATATGTTTCTGAATCTTCTTCAAGGAGAACCCCACATAAAATGCATTGCAATAATCAATTAACTCTGCCCACCTGAATTTTCTACTGATAACTTATTTTATTGTGTGAAAAATATACTTTGCCAAATATTTGAATGAGATTTTTTTGATTATCTTTGTCTAACCATTTGCACCTCATAACAATAGCAATATTGTTAGCAATAACAAGCTACAGGGCTTCAAGACTATAAAAGGTTCCTGCAAGAAGTAGAATGCTTGTGTACAACCAGGTTCAAAAGACAACTCCTGATAGTTTATACCACAAAATATGTACACACAAAACAAATATAAAAACCCGTAAATACTAAAGATGAGCAGTTTCTAATGAATTATTTAAGTGATAAAATGTTAAAAATAAATGAAAGCATAATATTAAAAATATGTCCTTTAGTTAATTTCAATTCCTGTTGACAGTCTCCAAATACTTTTCTTGGCTAAGTTAGGAAAGTGGTTTGCCACTGTCGCCTTCTGGGATGTTATTTCCACTCGACCAAGAGAAAGCTATTTTCATTTTATTGCCAAGAAAACTGCTGGATGCTCCGTCACTTGGAGTTGAGACTAACTCAAATGAAAATTACCTTTTTAATGTAGTGATATGTGTCCAATTCAATTACTTCCCCCCCCCCCCTTAATTTTTTGAAGTTACAGTAAAAAAAGTAAATTTTCCTACATGCAAACTTATATTGTAACTGAGAAAAGATATGGACACACATTTTTCCATTTAGCTCTATAACAAAAATAGCAGACAGATGAAAGATAATTCAGGAAAAACAGTTTTTCTCTGTCACATCAAATGATTTTTTTGGTAACCATAAATCTTCCTAAAATTTATGGAATGGAAAAGACATCATCTTTTTGTATTTTTTTCATGGAGCACAATAAAATTTTTATAATACAAATTGTACAAAATTTAAAATGATCAGAATAGCAAGTAACTTCTCACTGAAATTATTGTTTGGTATCTCTCACATACCAAGCTAAGTCCAAAGTATTGCTCTTGGAGCAATAACATTGTTCCTTGAAATCTGCTAAGCTTGCCAATTTAATTTTTTAACATTCTTTTAATTAAAAAAATGAATGGAAAGCATGTTGCAAAGCAAAGTATCAGCCTCAAACATATTTCCATAATTCCTGTGACTATTTGGAAGCATCTTCAGGGGAAAAAGTGTGTGTGTGTATACACATAAATATATATATATACAAATATACATATCTACCAGTAACAACAAAGCATTCAATTTATTTTTTTTGCAAAGAACCAAAATATCATGAAATTATATTTTGGTTCTTTGCAAACAGTGCCTATGAGATGTTCTCAACATTCCAAATATGCTCATTTGCCATAAAATATAGAGATGGGGGGAGAGGGATGTATACCCAAAGTATAAATGATGGTTTACAAATTACAATACAATTACAATTCGTGGACAAAATAAATTAGGCCAAAATATATATCTGGGTTCACATACAGTGTTAAAACCACTTAACTTGATTTACTAAGCAATCCACAAATGATTGAGTACACAAAGTACACTAAGCCATAAAGTATGTGTTATAGACTCATGGGTTCATGCAACATAATAAATCAAATAAATCCATTGTGTCTTAGGTCAAAGAAAAATGCTTATATAGTTCTCCTGCTTGTCTTTTTCTGAGTTTTGATAACTATTCAAAAAAGAAATAGATACTGCTAATGGTTCAATTAGAACCACATCATGACTTCTTAATACAGGAAATCTCCATCTCAGTTCAAGCACAAAACCCTTGCACTTTTCCTGAAATGTAATACTATGTTATAAAAACCAAACTTTACTAAATAATACAAGACAATCAAGACAATCAAGACAATCCTCAGTTTCTTAGACAAAAGGCAGATTCTGTGACTAGATTTTGACTGGTAACAAATACCATAGACTGGAAGGATACAAAAATTGGTGTGTGCGCAGACAGATAAGTCAATGACTCAGATTACTAATTCATTCACCATGTTAGGCTTACTATGAATCCATCAGAGCAAAAGGACTCATTCTTGTTGAGTCAAAAACAAATACACAAATCACATTACATTGTCTGGAACAGCATCACCACATTCGTACCTAGACTGAATTCTTTATTCAAACAATAGTCAACATCATGCAGTACAAACACCTCAAATTCTGCAGTTTGTGTCTTCCTTTCATATCTTTATAACGTGTTTGAGTATGTCTACTATATTTGCAGTTTCCATACACATACAAATCTACTCAACTGCCTTCCTTACATAAAAATTTACAGGAGCATGATGATCAATGTGCAAACAAAAGAGGCAAATACAAGGCAGGAAGTATGTCTATACCAGGAGCCAACTAAAGAATAATATAGAATGATCTGTGTAATTGGACAGAAGAACATCTGAATCACATAATGACAGAAGATGCCTTTTGGCAGTTCCATGTAAAAAGAACATATAACATACAGTAACTGTAATCTTCCTCAACACAGTGCCCAGGTCCTGGACTACAACTTAAATTATGCCAGCAAGAAGGGACTGCTCGGTAAAATAATTTAACAATCTGAAAAGGATCTGAGTTAAGAGATGTTGAGTTACAAGATTAGGATATACAAGAAAAAAATCACATTATCACAATGTATGTCCACTTTCTCTATTTACTCTGCCTGTCACAAACTGGTTGAGAAGCACCTCAATGGTGATCATGCGAATGTAGGATTCTGCAATGGTCATAATTGTGAAGATTGATGGCAAGGTTTTTTTTAGTGTCGTAATTTCAGTCACTCCATGAGGCAGTCAGTAAGCAAGGATTACTTGCATTATATCATTTGTTCATTGTTAGAAAGAAACAATGAACTTCAGGAGTTTTTAGTCAATGTACAGAACAGTCTACCCCACATTAGTGGGAAACTCCACTAATTCAGTAACTGAATTCAGTTGTTCCCAATTCGCAATTACAAGATGGGCAGGTCTTAGAAGTAAAAACCAGGGGGGGCAGACCCTGCCGACACCAACCCAAAGTCCTTGGAAGTAAGGCAGCATACAAGTTTAATTATCAACAAGTAAGAAAGTTTCTCTTGGGAAAGCATAGGGAATTTCCACACAGCCACAGCTTCCCTCTTCTAACCCTGCAGAGAAGTCTCTGTGTTTTACTGACGTTGAACTCCAGGAACTCGCAACGGATATTCTCACAAGAACCTTGTGAGGTAAGCTGAGCTGAGGCGGCGACCGACCCCAAAGCCCCTCAGTCCATTCGCACGATACAGAGCAAACTCCGAAGCCCTACATCGCACCTGCAACGCAATATACGTTGTGAGAAATCGGTGGCGGAAAAAGGAAAGCTCCTCAGCAGGATCTCCTGGCGCCTGAGGGGGCACGGAGAGCATTTGGCTTAGGCAGGGCAGCTTTATGGAGAGGTTAAAGGGGGCGTGCCCTGACGGGGGCGGCTCCCTCAGCCTCGGAAAGGGACCCTTCGCGTGAGGTAAACTGAAGCACGCCGGGGGGGGGGGCAGGGAGCGGGAGCCCTTTGCCGACTGACAAGAGGAAAGATCCCGGTGTCCGGGAGACGCCTGGCAACGGGGGCGGGCGGGCGAGGGGGGATGTTGCCCCGCAGCTCCCCACCTTGAAGGACCGCGTGCGAGAGAGCGCGCCCGCATTGACAGGGCGACGCCGCCGCCAGGAGGGACTGACCTTACGCAGGGCCGGCACGAGGAGCCCCCGCCATTTCTGCCCGTTCTCCTCGCTGAGGAACTCGTAGGGGGGCGGCTGAGGCGGCTGCATAGCCCTTCTTCTTCCTCCCGCGCCTTGGGATGGGATGACGGGGGGGGGAGGGGAAGGGGCACGGAGCTGTTCCACTGCTCCCCGGCCCTGCCCGCAGGCCCGGCCAACCGTGGTCACATCCGCGTCTCCCAAGCCGCCGGCCCCGCCGCAAGCCGCAGCAGGCGCCGCCGCCGCTCCACTTTCCCAAGCCTGGGCCGCGGCTGCCTCGGTCTCACGCGCACTGCGCAAACGCAGAGGCCGGCCTAAAGCAACCGGGCAGGCTCCAGTTGCGCTCTCTAGCGGCCCCGGGAAGAGGACCGGAGGAAGAGGGAGTCGGCCTGTCGGGCAAGTGCCAATGGGAAAAGAAGGCGGCCCCTTCGGATACACAGTGGAGGTGGGGCCGCCGGCTTGCCTCGCTTTTCCCTGAGGATGGCTCTTTGCTCGACAGTCGCTCAACTGAAGTGCGGGCGGAGAGCGATTCTAGTGCCAGGAAGGCCGAGGAGAGGAAGAAATAGGAGGCTTCGCGGTCCGTTACGCTTTGATACCTTTGCCGCCCTCTCCTTCGATCGAGCTTCTTCTAATTCACCCTCGGGTACCTTCCAGAGAGACTCCTCCAATCTCCTTTCCGTTAGTTATGTTGCCAGAGTATTGTGGAGAGTTGAAGTTCAACACATTTACGGTCTGCGTTGCCAATCCATATCTATTTCAAGACAAGGGGAGGAGGGGGACAGGAGTACTTCCAGCCTTACAAGATTCTGTTTAATGTAACCTTACAATAACGTAGAATTAATTCATCAGGTTATGTTTCCAGATTGCCCTACCATGTAAGGCTGAAAGTACTTCCCCTCTTTATCTAATCTTTTACAGACCCAAAACAAAGGAGGGACTCTTCTGAGTCTCTTGCCCCAATCCTGTTGGCTAAACTGCCGTTTAATCCCCTTGACCTGGCTTCCAAATTCATTCCCACATATCAGAAAATGGCTAGAGGTTGAGCCAGGATGGGAGAATCATCCTCCATCCCACTCCTGCCAGATATGATTCAAAATTGTACCCAATGCTGTTTCTGTGTCTAGGTCTGAATCTTGACTGAAAGGAGTCCAGCTAATTGCTTCATCCAGAATGCACTAACGCTGCTGCATAACCACCTTCCTCACAACAGTCCCTAAAAAAATTGCCCAGTATGGTGGGATCTAGTGATTCTTGAGGGGAGTGTGAACCAATCTCTCCTTAAGGACAATCTCCTTTCTCAAGGATGCATTGAAATATTTTAATCTTTCTACAATTTTGATAACTTAGACTCCAGGTGTAATTTTGATGGGCAGTGACACTAGGTTGGTGGAGTCCAGGAGAGCGGCATTCTCTGTTGTGACTATGGAACATCTTTCTCTGTTGCGATTATGGAACATCTTATCCACTGAGGTGCGATTGGCTCCTGCCATTTTGTCCTTTCACAGGAGCCTGAGTTCTTAATGGGGGAACATTGCATTGGAGGCAGTTGTTGAATTAATAGGCAATTCCATGTCTCTCCCTGAACTGCGTCTCATAATTCCTAGTTAAGGAATGAAATTGGTAAAGGCTGCCAGAAAATCTAGTGAAAGGAAATTATTAAACAATCAATTTTGCACTCTAGAAGCCCATTGTTTTCAACAATTTTCTAAAATATTTCCTAACAGTAAGGCAACACATAAGAATTGGTTAAGGGAAATTATTATTACTTACCTTTTTGTAAAATCACTTTCTTTAGAAGGCAGTAGGAAGAATAGTCAAGGCTTCAGTTGCTGCCCTTGAATGGCAAAAATGAACTCTATTCCTAGTTCTAAAGGCTTGGACTTAGAATCTTGCTTAACTATAAGATAAATGATTGGAGCACAGTGTGTAATGATGTCACAGACAATTTTCTGATGCTTGTAGAACAAAGGCAGTTGGAGTAAGAATAGGAAACCATCATCAGACAAATTACTTGCTAACTCCTTAATCTAGAACTAGTATTTGACATAAAAGGCCATGATTCCAACTGGCTGTAAATAAGAAATAGTACTCAACAAAGATTTATCACCACCTAGAAAATGGTTCAACTTACATCCAAGTCACAGTCCTAATGAAAAGAATTAATCGTTATGAGGTGGGATCAGAAAAGGTAGCACTTACGTTTCTTTTACATGTAGCTTTTTAAAATAAAACAGCTTGGTTCAGAGGGGAGATTTGGTTTGCTGATGCTGCAAAAGCTGGTACCTCAGGGCCTCAGAATTAATTTAGCAAATTTTGCTAAAAGAAAAGCTGAAATTGTACATGCCCAGATAAATCCTGGGAATGAGGAAGTACTCAATTTGGAGCATCTGGCACTTACTTCTAACACAAATGAGGATTATACTCAGATCAGTCACTATCAGAAAAGTGGATATTCTGTGCAAGTAATGGAACAAGAACCTAAAAAGAAGGTTTCTGAAAAAAATGTGGTAGATGAGTCTCTGCAAACAGATAGCAAAGTGAGCATTTTTAGACGAAAAGAAATAATGGATGAAAGTGAGCAGACAAATATTTCTGCAAGGACAAGTTGTGCAACACCTCTTAAGAAACAATTACAGTCCAACAGCCCTCAACTCCAAGACCAAGAATCCTATTGTAATAATCAGCAGCCTGTTACTTGCCAGCCTTTACAAACCCCAAAGTCTTTTCAAGACGGCTTTGAACAGGAGATTATTTTTCCTGAAGAGACAGAAATAAAAAAACCTTGTGTGCAAGATGGAACCAAGCAAGTAGAAAAGCATGATAGTCAGCAAATAAAGACACAAGTCCCACACCATGGTAGCCAAGATATAAACAGACTGGAATCTCAGCACAGCAGCAAACAAGACATTTGTGCTCAAAATCTACCAAACCAAACATTTTCTCAGGGACAGCCTTTGAATAAAGAAAGGACTTGGATTTGTGAAAGAACAGGTCAGATGATATCTAGCTATCAGCAAACCAGTATTGTTTGGGGCCCAGAAACACTTACAGAACTTTTACTTCCTTTTCATCAATCCATGTTAAGAAACAATTCAGAAAGAGAAACATTAAACACTGAGAAATTGCCAACATTTTCTGGGGTTTCTAAAATGAAACCTGAGTTACAAGAATCTCAACATAGTACACAACAGCTACAGGGACAAGCATTAGAACAAATTTCTCAAAGGCACATGGTACAAGAATCTTGGCACTGTGTTCAGCAGTCAGAGGGACAAGAATCAGGCAGTGATAGTAAGTCTGTGGGTGTACAAGGCTCTCAGGACAGTATTCAACCGGAAGAGCAAGAATCAAGGCTTGATAGTCAATCTGTTGCAGTACAGAATTCTTGGCATTGTATTCAACAGCCAGAAGGGCAAGAATCAAGACGAGGCAGTTGTGTAGTACAAGAATCTCAGCACAGTATTCAGCAGCCAGAGGGGCAAGAATCAAAACGAGGTAGTCAAAATGCTGCAGTACAGGAATGTTGGCATGGTATTATTCAACAGCCAGAGGGGCAAGAATTAAGGCGAGGTAGTCGATCTGTGGCAGTACAAGAATCTTATCTCAGTATTCAACAGCCGAAGGAGCAAGAATCCAGACGAGGTAGTCAATCCATTGCAGTACAAGAATCTTGGCATAGTATTCAACAGCCAGAGGGACAAGAATCAAGACAAGGTAGTCAATCTGTTGCAGTACAAGAATCTCAGCGTAGTATTCAAAAGCAACAGGGACAAGAATCAAAGCGAGCTAGTCAACAACCTGCAGTACCAGAATCCCAATATAATATTCAAGAGCCAAAAATAGTACAGCAGGAGACCCAACTAAGAGACCAACAAGTAGAAACAGAAAAAACAAAATCAGAGGAAAAAAAAAAAAAGCGACGTAAAAAAATACGGAAAAATAAAATTGACCAAGCTCAGCAGACAGATAGTACTCAGAGTCTGCAAAGAGAGTTGCTTGAAAAAAGTTTACAGACTGATACGGTTAGCATTACAAAAATTAGAACACAATTAGGAATGCAAGAATCTCGCCATGGTAGTTATCAGTATGACTTGCAAAAAACAGGTAAGCCTGTTATTTCAGACCTCTGCATTGATAGTCTGCCACAAAAACAGACAAAAGATTTTCACCAAGGAAGCAAGCCAATTGACATTTTAGAACTTCGCTCTTGCAGTCTACCAGTCAATTTACTAGATTCTTTCTATGATAGCCAGCAAAGTGAAATGCAAGAATTTCGATACAGTAGTCTCCCTCTTGAAGATCGGCAAGTTCATCACAACAGACCTCCAGCTGGGTTAAAAGAATTTGGGCTAAAGCAAAAATCGCAGCATGGTAGCCTAGGAACAGAAAACAAGATTGATGATGCAAAGGAGCCCTATGGGACTATTGCTTCTGAGAATACAACAATGCCACTGAAACAAAAGATGTCATTTGGTCAACAGACATACAGCATCATTTCATTGGAGGAAACTACTTGGTTAAATCGAAGATCTGGCAAATTAATGCAAAACCACAGTCAACAGACTAATGATAGTTGGCTTCAGAATTATAGAGAGAAAAAACAGAAACTTGCCAGTAAAGAAGCACTATCAAAGAGTAATGAGTCTGTTGTTCAAAAGTCTCAAATAATTAGCTCAGAGTTAGGGACTAATGAACAGTATACTGCACTTGAGACTAGAAGAAGCAGAGAACAGGCTGCTGTGCTTGAGTCCCATGAGGACAGTAAGCACTCCCCAAGTTTAGCATCCCAAAGAAGCAGCAAACAGCCTGTATCCCTAGAAATTGAGGAAGCGAGTGAACTGCCTGCTATAGCAGACTCTTGGAAACATAAACAATCTTTTGTTCCAGAATGTCAAACAAATGGTGAACAGTTTGCCATGCTTTATTCCCAGAAGGATGGTGACCAGGTCAACATTCCAGAATATCAAAAGGATAGCAACAAATCCATGATCTTAGAGTTTGGAAAAGGTACAGAGGTGTCTGCTACTACAGAATTCCAGAAAGGCAATGAAGGGCCCACTTTATCTGAATCCCCAAAGGGCACTGAT